TGCGTGCAGGCACACATTCCTACTGCTGATGTCCTCTACCAGAGCTAAGCTTTAAAATGTAGCACTTTGCATCAGCAGCCTAGACGCACCCAAAAATATGAATTGACCTTGGTTAGTGACTAATACAAAAGAATATGAAATGCGAAACAGGACAGAGTATGACAAAGGCTATAGCAGCCATTTCAATTCATTTCTGCAAGAAAGTAAAAGCAAAAGGCTCTGGAGGAAGTCAGCTTCCCTCAGAGCTTTGCCAGCTTTGGGGCCTGATCTGATGGGCAGCCTGGAGGGGGGAAGATTCGCATGAGTGCAGCCTGCAGGAAGGTGTCGGGTGGGGGGAACCAGGGGATCAGTTACCAATGTCTGCATTCCAGTCACAATGCACAGCTCTTGTTAAAATGTGCCCAGTGTACGGGGTGCCTGGGTGGCTCAGTTGTTGAGTGTCTGCCTTCGGCTCGGGTCATGATCCCAGAGTCCTGGGATCGGGCCCACATCGGGCTCCCTGCTCAGCGGGAAGCCTGCTTCTCCCTCTCCCGCTCCCCCTGCTTGTGTTCCCTCTCTCGCTGTTCTCTCTGTCAAAAAAAATGAATAAAATCTTTAAAATCAATCAATCAATCAATCAATCTACATTTAAAAAAAAAAATGTGCCCAGTGTTGCTTTAGGTAAAGGAAGAAAATCTCAGTCCTATGATATTTAAAACAGCGCTCTGTTTCAGGCCCTTTCCAGGATAGCTGTCACAGCCTGTTTTATGATCTTTCAAAAGAATAAAAGGAAACTGATGTTCTCCCTGGGGGCTAGTTATAAGAGCAGTCAAAAGTTAATTATACCGGATATGTAATTAAAGTCACAGTCCTTAGAATCTAATTGTTTGCTGTCTGGATAGCCCCTCACATCATCATCGTCATCATCATCAACATCATCATCATCAGAACTCCATCTGGCCCAAAGGCATGGAGACTGCCCCCTCCCTCATGCCACAGTGGATGCCCGAACTGGGTCAACAAGGCTGCCAGTGGGTCTTGGTTAAGACAACTCACCCGGGTCCCCATAACCACTTCTAGCTGCTCTGTCTGCTCTCATCTGTGCCTCATCCTCCCCTCTCCAGATTAGGCAAGGGCTATGGTCAGCATAGCTATTCTCCCCCAACAGTCTCTAAACTCCAGTGGGACAGATGGGTCTCCACCCTGCCAAGCAAACCTCAGGAATTAGTCTCGGGGGGGGTCTTGGGATGGATCCCCTGCAGATAAGGGGGGACATCTTTACAATCCCTCTCCCATCTGTGGGATTTGCCTACAACTAGTTCCCTGGGGAGTTCATGCTTTTGGAGGCCAGGGTGTACAGTTTATACGTTGTCCTTTTCAGGCTCTCAGCACTTGGTAGATGCTCATCATATAGTTCTTGACTTGTTGGACTAGATTTCAGAAAACACATAGGAACAAGGGGCCTGTGTGTGTGAAGGCCTGCTCTCCAGTACCCTGGGCTTTGCTCCCAGGGAGAGCCAGGCCTGGCGGGAGGGCAGGATGAACACCCTGGAATAACCTGGAACAACACAGAACAGGTTGGAACAGGTGCCAGCTAAGGGCTGGGCTGGACCCTTCCACCCACGTCTACTCCGTATCTAGTGCCTCCAGAGCTATCTCCCAATCCCTGCAAGGGGCTGGCTTTGAAACATCATGAAGGTCTTGCCCTGGGAAAGCTTGGAGTCCACGGGACAGTGCGGGGCAGGACAGCAAGAGCACTGGACCCCATGGGCCTGGCTCTCATATCAACTCACCCAGGCTATAGATTTTACCTCTCACTGAAACACGGAGCCAGCAATGTCTGCCCCACTGGGGTGCCACTGATGCGGGAGAGCTCTGCTTCTTCCACAGTGAGCGCAAGAGGGAAACACCGAGTGGGTGGCTAAGGAAGGCTGCCCCTCCAGGGCTTTACCAGCAGAGGTCACTTTTCCTGCCCAAGCAGGCCTCACACCAGGCACCCAGGCCCTTCAACAGACGTTGTTAACCAACTGGCCCGCTGCCCTAGGCTGAAGAGCGCCCAGATCCCTGGCTTGCCAACACCATGTCGTCCAGGTCAGTGAGCCCCAGGCCAAGCCAGGACAGCCTCTGGGATCGCCGTGCAGCCTGTGTGTCCAGAGGCAGGCCTAGCTGAAAACAGATAAAGGACATCTCCCCTTCCATGCTCCGGCTGGAAGTCCTGGTTGAACTACTTGGGGTAAGGGTGCAGGAGGTGGGAAGGACACCTGGTGAATTGTCTGCCTGCTCTTTCCCTGGCACCTGTACCCCTCTGGGAGGCTCACAGCTGAACCTCTCCCCTTCCCTCCCATATGCACACACTCCCATATGAGTGTGGGATCCAAGCCCAGCCAGCCCTCCCAGAGAATGTGAGATTGGGAGGAAGGGCGTAGCTCCCTTGATGGACTGGATTGTAAAGATGTGTCTGAGGCCAGACCCCAGCTCCAAGGAGGCCTCTGGGAGGACATGGCCAGCCTCCAGAGGCCAAGACTCAGACCGAACCACTAAGAACAAGAGGCCTGCCCACGACAAGTCCCTCATGCTGCCCCCCAGGTCCCCAGACCTGACCTCCCTGGTTTCTGTGAGCACTCCAGTCTTCTCAATCTTTTGTGCTCCAGCTAGTACAAATTCCATTTCTGAAGAAGCCGTGGATGATGACAAATTGCTTCTTCAGGAAGCATGAAGGTCACCTTGACTCCTTTCTTGGCTGCTGGGACCACCAGCTACTCAGGGGTATGATGCATTGGTTGAGGGCAAATCCCAACTCTGCAATGTCAGGCAGACCACTTCCGTGCCTCAGTTTCTGCATTTATGAAATGGGGATACAGTAGTCCCCCCTTACCTGCAGGGGATCCATTCCAAGACCCCCCTGAGACCATGGATTCTACCACCCCTGCATAGACTGTTTTCTCCTATACATACATATGATAAATTTTAATTCATAAATTAGGCACAGTAAGAGATTAACAACTAATAACAACACTGAACAGTTATAACAATACTGTAATAAAAGTTATGTGAATGTGGTCTCTCTCAAAATATCTTTTTTTAAAGATTTTATTTATTTATTTGAGAGAGAGAGAGAGAGAGAGAGAGAGCGTGGGCAGGGGGAGGAGCAGAGGGAGAAGCAGACTCCCCACTGAGTAGGGAGCCCAACCCTGAGCTCGATCCTAGGACCTTGAGATCATGACCTGAGCTGAAGGCAGGCGCTAACCGACTGAGCCACTTAGGCGCCCCTCAAAATATCTTATGGTAGTGTACTTAACCTTCCTCTTCTCACAATGAAATGAAGTGAGTGGAATGACATAGGCATTGTGACATAGCATTAGGCTACTATTGACCATCTGACAATACATCTGAAGAAGGATCATCGGCTTCCAGACTGCAGTAACTGAGGGCAACTAAAACCTTGGAAAGCAAAACCATGGATAAGGGGGAGGACTATTGTAACAAAATGCCTGTTTCATGAGGTTGCTGTAAGGATTACACGAATTTACAATCTAGTAAGCCTGAAATAGACATGAGGTGAAGACACAAGGCAGCCTCGTGAAATGGAGCTAGAAATGGCTGCATTTACCCACAATGGCGAGATTGGGAGCGCTGGGCCCTGCAGCCCATCCTAAACAGAGTGGCCCCTTAGTGAGAAAAGTCTTCACGTCATTCCAGTTGTGCCTTCACCTGCTGCCTTGCTTCACAGTCTTATCTTCTCTCACCAGGGCTCCAGCAATAAGCACATGCAATACTTAATCAAGCAGATGGATTTTGACCACCTGTTGTGTGACAGGATGGGGGAGGAGGGATAGAAGGCTGGGGAACATGGCAGAGGAGGGATTGAGGAGCCGAACTCGGGGAAACAGGCAGTGGCAGGAAGTCTCCAGCACCAAGAAGGGCAAGCACAGAACTCCAGTGAAGTTACTGAGGGACACCTGCACCTCCCATACTGTGGGGCCTCTCCGAGCGAGTGGTGTCTAAGTTTAGGAAAACAAGAGTTATCCAGGCGAAGAAGGTGGGAAGTATTCCAGAACAGAAGGAATACCATGGGTTGGTTCTTCACTGGTCTTCCTGACTCCCTGCCTGGCTCCCCTCCCACGAGCTCAATGAGAGCCAGAAGCTTCTTTTTTAGAAAGAAAACTTAGTCACTCCACTGTTTAAAACCATTCAATGGGGCTTCTGGAAATAAAATTCTAACTCCTTGGCTCTTTCTTCCCGGTCCACGTGGTGAACCTCATCTTTTAGACGGCCCATTCCTCCAGGAGCCGTCTTGTCTGACTCCCCCACCCCAGGGCCTATTTCAATCACAGGGACACAAATGGACGTGAGAATTTGTATTCAACAAGCTAGAAATAAAGTCAGTATTTTACAAATGTGTAGGAGGAGAAAAGAGGAATAAAAGCCTTTCAGACATGATCAGGAAAGGGTCCAGGCACTCCTGCAGGCTGCCCCGAAGCACACCTGGGGTTGATCGGTGGGTGCTGCACGCCTGACCGCCCCGCCCATCACCCCTGATGCCTGGTCCAGTACACAGACCCTGGGCACTGTGCCGGGCACAGAGCGGGCTCCCCAACCATCGAGGCGGTCAGCTCGGGCCCAGCCGCTCCTGCAGCGCAGGCTGCGCCCAGCACCTCTGAACCGCAGGTCCAGGTACCACACACGACGAAATGAATGGAGGTAGGAACTCGGCTCGGAGCCCCCGGCACCCGGGTGCGCAGGCTCCAGAACAGCTAGGGCGATCCCGCCCCCCGGCCGCTACTCGCCAATCAGCAGGGGCGGCGAGATTCATGCCCGCCCCCCGACCGCGCCCTCTGCCAATGAGCGAGGCCCGGGCGGCCGGCCGCGGAGTCCAGCCCCGGCAGGCGCACGCCGCTGTTCGCGTGTCAGGCTCCAAATAAAGTTCGTCGGGGCTTTGAATTTTTTTTTTAAAGCGCCCGCTGCCGCCGCGGCCGCCGCGGGCGAGAGCAGACGAGTCCCCGCCCCGCCACTTCCGGTCCCGCCGCCCGGAGCCGGTGCGGCTGTGAGGGGCCGTGTGTCGCCGTCGCGGGCCGGCCGGGCATGGTGTTGGGTGCCGGGCCCGCCTCGCCTGTCTCGGGGTGCCCAGGTGAGCAGCGTGCGGCCCCACGGCGGGCGAGGGGCGGCCGCGGGCCTCCGGGCGGCGCCGGTACCGCGGGCGGGCCGGAGGGCGGGCGGCGCCGGGGCCGCCTCGGGCCGCGCGCTCCTCACGGCCGGGCGCCGGCGGTGCGGGGCCGGACCGCCTGACTGGGAGAGGGACGGGGCGCCGGCCGCCGCCAGACTCGAGGGGCAGCCCGCAGGCAGCGCCGGCTTGTGCCGGCGCCCACACTGCCTCGCTCGCGCCCGCCGTCGCGGGGGAGCCGCGGGCCGCGTTGTCCAGAAGGAAACGGAGCCCAAGGTCACCAGCCCGCCGGGGCCGGGGGCGGCGGGACTCGGACGCGGGCCGTGCGACTGCTCTGCCTCGGGAGTCCGGCTAGGCCCGGACAGCGGCGGGGGTGAGGAGTAGGACTCCCGCCTCGCCAGCTCGCCTGCAGCTGCCGCGCGGCTGGGGGCGGCCTCGGCGAGTCTGGAGGATTTTACCCGCACCGGGAGGGGAGGAAAGGAGGCAGGGTATCGTGGAACGATCGGAAGAACCAAGTCTTGGATTCTAGACCTGGTTCCGCTGGTGTGTAATCTTGGGTGTGGCCCTGCCCTCCCAGGGCTCAGTTTCCTCATTTATCACATGAGGGAACTGGGCCCTCCCCGTCCGCATCCCCTCCAGCCCCGGAGTGGGGGTAGGATGGATTGCGGTGGCCAGAGAAGGTTCCTTGGGGGAGACGTTGGAATCTGGATAGGATTCTCTTGTCCTGAGGAAGGAATAGCAGTAGGTGGTGAAGGGAAGGAGGGCACTCCAGACCTGGATATCATCAGACTGAACAGACGATTCCAGAAATGGGCAAGGTGGTGTTGAGGAGCAGGGAGGAGGCCAGCTGGCAAAGGATTTCTGGCTGGGGATGGGGATGAGGGTGGGTGGTGGTGGGGACAGAAGGGTGGGAGAGATGTTCAGAGACAGATCATCACTGGGCTGGGTGGTGTGTGGCTTGAGGACCTCCACCCAGATTTGCCTGCGCTTCAGGTGAATAGGTAGTGCAGGAGGGGGCATGTTTACTGGTGAAAATAAAGGGTTGGGCTCCAAAAGTCGGTCAGCCAACCAGGGTGACTCCCCTGCCAGGTGGGAGTTTTCTGGGCCCTGGCATTCCGAAGGAGGGTGGTACAGTGTGGACGTTTTTGTGTCCTGATAAGGGCCTCTTTGGCTGGAGAAGTTGGTTGTCCCCTAGTGACCTGCAGTTCCATCTTGTACTCTAGGATTGGGACTTTTCCACAGCAGGAGGAAATTCAAATGTGGTGTTCCTCACTCTGAGCTGACTGGCTCCTGGTATCCCTGCACAGGTGACCTGGCCCCATGTTGCCACTACAGGCAGGAATGCCGAGTAAATAGGACTCGATGATGAGACTAGTAAATAGCACACAGGAATCTTCTTTGAACAGCCAGAGAGCAAGTCCCACCCGGAGGAGGAGGAACGTAAATGGGCCAACTGGGACTTGTGGGATTTAGAGACTGAGCATGCTATTCGGTGCAGCTGATCTGTCACCAGAAGCGCTCTCTTAACACCGTGTGCTTTGCAGTCAAGGGGCAGTTTCTTGTTAAGCCTGGTCTTCCGTCGGTGAAGCATAGTGCAGAAGGAAGAGAGAATCCTGAAGCAGCTGCAGGTGTTTGGCAGACCTCTTGACAGTTTGAATAATTCTCTTTGTTCAAATCTCTTTATAGAGAATTTAACAGCTAAGGAAACATTTCCAAATTAGGCCTTAGGTTTATCCCTACAGTGTCATGCAGTACTAATACAGGTGGTGGACAAATAGGTGGTCATTATACACTTAGATTTCTTAGAATGCTAGGAGAGTAAGTTTAGTGTTCACTTCGATGGACAACAAAACATCAGTATCGTTGTCTTTTATACCTTTCGGTCAGTGCCCCGTGTTTTTATTAAGGACCACAAACTTCTTGAAGATTGCAAGCCAGGAATCTGGCTCTTAGTGGAGTTGAGTATAAGGCATATTATGCCCACAGAGAAGACTTCAGTGTGGAGTAGTAGGATTATAAAAGAATAAGCAGTGGGGTGGCTGGGTGGCTCAGTTGATTGAGCGTCTGATCCTTGGCTTCAGCTCAGGTCTTGATCTCAGGGTCTGGGGTCCAGCCCCGAATTGGGCTCCTCGCTTAGCAGGGAGTCGGCTTGGGAGTCTCTCTCCCTCTCCACCCCTACCCCCACTCTCAAAAAAAAAAAAAAAAGAATCCTCAGACTGCAGTGACACAGATGAGTGTCTTGGTGTGAGCCTTTGTAAACAAGTCTTGCCAGGACCCTCCAAGGGGCTCCTTCAGTGCAGGTCCTCAGGGAACTGGGTGCCCTGGCACTTGCTTCTCCATGGGGCTCTTTGTTATGACTTTCCTGGAGTACTGCCTATGGAACTCTTTACTCAGGTTGGGCTTTTGTTTTATTTTTTGCCATATTTGTATTGCCAAGGTCAGCTAGAAGATAAAAACCAATTGGACTTTGTGAAGGTTGCATGTCTTGGTCCATCTTCAGGCAACCTTAACCAGGCGGCAGGACTGATGTGCTCAAGTCTGGGTGTGTATCGGTGGACTTGGCTGGGGCGGCAAACACGGTCTTGTGATCCAGATCTGCTTAAGGGATTCCTGACAAGATCATTCCACGTGGGGGCTGAGCAAAAGAACCTGGCTCTAGATTGGCGCTTCTGTCTCTAGTAGCTGCAGGCTGGAGCCCCTATGGGTGTTTGACTTTATTCCCACCCCCAGGCTCCCCTAGTGAGGTTGCCGAACCAATACCTCCCTGCCCTGGGTAACGCTGAGAAGACATGTTGGTTATGGTCCAGGCCACTATGTAGGTTCGCCGGGGGAGATGGCATGGTCAAGTGGCAATGAAGAAACTAGTGTTGGTTTGTTTTCACATTTGTGTCAACTTTCACATTTGTGTCATGATTGAAGTACATGAAACTACACATATTCAAAGTATGCAGTTAGATCAGTTTTGATATATATACCCCTGAAACCATCACCACACTCAAAATGTTTGCGTCTTCTCCAGGAGGGAAACTGATGTTTCTGTGGTGACTGCTTCTGGCAGCCGAGTGGCCTCAACCAAGCCAGTTCCTGGGCTCCCATCGTCACAGGATCTACATCAGTAAAAAAAAAGAGTGGGAATTGGGGGTTGGAGGGGGAAGTCCTTCCCAGATTGAAATTTTAGGACCTTGTGAATGCTAATGTGTAATAGAACCATCTTTTGAAGCATTTAAACCACTGACTCTAAAAGGGATTAGGTGTGTGTTTGTGTGTGGGTCGTATACAATACAGAAGATCATATTCAGTATGTTTCTTTTTTATGGCATACATAATAGAAAATAAAATCTGATAGTCTTTGGAAGAGGGGGAGATACACAGAAGAAGATGGTATGAGAAGTTATGTAAAGAACCTGGGTTAAAAATACCAGTGGGGGAAGCGTATTCTTATTTTGGCTTTCAGTATCTTAGCTTCAAACTAAAAGTTTGTGTTTGGGTCAAGTTTTTCATTTGGAAGTTTTAGATTGTTTTCTTTTGAAAACAATCAGAGTGGTATTGAAAGGAAATAATTTGAAAGCAACAAAGGAAATTATGGAAATATTGGGCCGGTGACCAGTTTTTGTGTTTGGTCTTCATTGTCTTTCCCAGTGAGTTTTCAGTGAGTTTCAGGGGGGTGCCTGAAACATAGATGGGTTGGAAGCAGCCAATGAAGAGAGTCTAGTTTGGGGCATTAACTATAACTTAATATTGTTGATATTGCCTAAAAATGTAAATAAGACAACATAAGTAAATGCAAAGATGCTTCTTAAGTTTCCATCCACACCTTTGTTAAAGGGAGAAGAAAAAGAAAGCATTACATTGCTTCCTCCTACCCAGAGCTGATGCTCCCCTCAGTCTGCGATGGGCCAGGCACAGGGGCCACACACACAAGTGCATGGTCCCTGCAGCAGAGTGGGGCACACTTAGCCAGAGGACAGTGGTGGGCCAACATGGAACCCATTGGTGGAGGCTCCCCTAGACCACAGGCTCACGGGATCTTTGTCACCACTGTGTCCCAGGACCTGGTGCCCAATGAATGTTAAATGCATGGCTCTCTGTTTTTTAAAATTTTTGTGTACTTTAAAAAATTAGACTTACAGAGGATGGCATAGAGATTTCCCAGATTAATTATAAAGGAATCCAATCTTATGAATGTGCCTTATGCTGAATTTTCCTGTGACTAAATTACAGGAAAAAGTTAACCACCTATGGCCTTGTCTTCAATTTCCAGTCATTGTCTAGAGACGTGTCCATAACCCTGCTTTTGGTCTGTCTTTCAGGGTAAAGGTAGCAGTAATGCTGACGTTGGCAAGTAAACTAAAGCGGGAGGACGGTCTCAAAGGGTCCCGGATGTCAGCCACGGCCTCCGACTCCACTCGGAGGGTATCTGTGAGAGACAGGCTGCTTGTTAAAGGTAATGTCATCCATGCAAGCTGGTTTCTCTCCTATAATAAGATGAAGTCTGACTGGAGGCTCTTTGGGGATATGAAGCACCCAGTTGCTGAGTAGAAATACCTATTAGAAAATATTTGAAACTATAATTGCCTGTCACTTACAAGGACTTTGTACTGTGGGAATACTAAGGACAGGAAAATGTGGTATGTCGGGGCGCCTGGGCGGCTCAGTCGTTGGGCGTCTGCCTTCGGCTCGGGTCATGACCCCGGGGTCCTGGGATCGAGCCCCACATCGGGCTCCCTGCGCCGCGGGAAGCCTGCTTCTCCCTCTCCCACTCCCCCTGCTTGTGTTCCTGCTCTCGCTATCTCTCTGTGAAATAAATAAATAAAGTCTTCAGGAAAAAAAAATGTGGTATGTCTTACACACTTGGAATATGCTCTGTAGCGGCTGCCAGAATGCTGGTGGGAGGATTATGGTACTCTGGTCTCAGTGCTCTCAGTATCTGGCTGGTTGTGGGGGCGAGGGGGGAGCATCTTCCTTTCTTGTGCTCAATCACAAGGGGTTCCAGAGTCCCTCTCTAACACCTCAGCACCAGTTTCTGGTCTGTAAAGGGAGGGAGTGGATTTCAGGAATCTCTAGGATCCTTCTGTACTTTATTCAAGTCACAGCCTGAAGAGAGCTTTATACAAAATTAGTTCCCTTCACAGAATTAATAACTTGAGTGTCCTAGAGCTGTAGTCTTTGGAGAAGGGTTTATATACTGTGTGAATATGCATGCATTTGTATGGAATTTCTGTGTTCATTCATTGATCAAACTTAACAACTGTCAGGTGCAAAGGCAGTTTCCTGGGGTCATGAGGACTACAGAAGATGAAGAAGAAACAGTTCCTACTTTAAGGAGCTTAGAATTTGTAGCACTTTTTACTTTATGGCATGTGTTTACATTTCTTAAATGTGTAGGAGCTAGGAAGCAACGAGCTATACAGTTGGTTAGGACTGCCTGTTTTCATGTCGTATCAGGTAGACACCATGAGGTTGCTGGCATTTGTGTGTCCTGAACCAGACCTAACGGCGGGAGAGCTGGTGTGGGTGCCTGCACTGTTTGTCCTCAGAAACAAGGCATTGCTGAGCTTGGCGGGAGTGGCACCGGGAAGGTATCAGGCTCAGGGAGTCTTGGGGCGGTGTGCTCTTCCTTATTCTCTCTGCCCCTGAATCTGTCCTTAGCTCTGATTTATCCAGCCTGATGGATGATGGAGTAAGAATCATTTCTTACCTTTTGACATTGCCCACTATGTCAGGTTGAATTCAGAATTGTGATGGCGGTCAGAGGGTGAGACATGGGCTGCAGCTCCTCACTTGGATGGGACTTGAGTCCTGATAGGACTTGAGTCTCTTTCCCAGATGCTGGCTCAAGGGTTCCATCTGCAGAAGAAGCCAGGAGCCAAACAAGCTGGGGATGGGGTTTGATGTGTTGACGCGGTCCTTATGTGGAGGGTGTTTTAGTGCCCGGGAGTTAGAGTGAGGAATGCCCAGATGTTACCTGAGGAGGCAGTTGGAAGCAGTGAGTAGACTGTTCCGTCTTCTTCACCATATCCTTGTCATGGTTAATAGCTGTCATACACAGGGCAATTGGGGCCGGGCCCTCCGTCGGACACTTTATAGGGCAGTTCTTGTTTGACTTTTGCTAAGCCTTGCCAGGTGGGTTGTTCATGCTGCAGCTGAAGGACTGAGACTCCAGAGAGGTTAAGAAACATGCCCAGATTACATCTTTATTGTAGCAGCACAGCCAGACCCACATTCTGGGGTGGTGCAGGCTCTGGCGGAGCAGACCTAACAAGCAAAAGCTGAATGAGCAGAACAGAAGTGCAGGTCCACTGCCAAGAACTTCACCTTCAGGGAGGTGTACGGGCTCCTGCACACCTTCCACCCCGCTCAAGGATTCACCTGGCAGCTCTCAAATGGCTCTAGGGCCTGGTGCAGCGCCGGGGAGCCCATGGAGGCTCATAAAGCTGGACTCCGCCCCCACTCCCAGGACAGATGTCTTTGGCTGGGTTTACAGGGCCCTGCTAAGGTCCTTTGACTTTGTGAGACTCATCAGAGAGAGAGAGGTGCAAAACCACCTCATGGGGCCACCTGTTTCCATCCTCCCAGGGCACTGGTGATGATCAGGTTTCTGGGGTAGTTGTGGGCAGCAGGGCACACTGTAACACATACCTCACGTGGCCTGCTCCCTTCTGCCTCAGGGGGCTGTTGGACCAGGTTGGGCTGGCTGAGTGGTGAGCAGTTTGGGCATGTGGTGGAGGGTGGGTAGAGAGCAAGGGTGGGCCTGGCCTGAGAGAGGGGGCTGTGAAAAACAGGCACATAAGGAAGGATGCTCTGCTGGTCCATGATCTCCTGATCTGCACCTAGAGCACTCCTTTGCTTGGCTGGATGTTGGGGAGGTCTTCATTCTGGGGATTTTGGATGGTGGAAGTGGTGTGTGGAGTCCAGGAGTCCGTGGCATTGTGGGCACTTGAGGGGTGATTACAGCGAAGTTCTTTCTAAGGGAAACCCCCTTTGGGAACTTTGAAAAAAAGTTGGACGTCTGAGTTCAACAAGATTGCTCTAGTCGGCGCTGTCATCCTGGGCTGTGGCTTTGGCTCATGTGGGAATGTTACTCATGAGGATCGTTAGTTTGTAGAAAAGTATGTTAATGTGTCTTGGGATTCAGTGCTATAGGCTGGATTCCTAGGAGTGGGGAATGTGGTATCAGGATAGTTATAAAGGAGTATCCCTGAGACTGATACCTGTGGAGGGAGGTGAAGGACTCAGGAGCAGGCAGAGCAAGAAATCGATCTCTGGGGAAGGCCCCAGACAGCCTCTACTTAGGCAAGCCTAGCCTTCAGAGCAGTCCCCAGTCAGGTGAGATGGTCAGGTTTTCCTGCTCTGCATGGATCAGTTGCCACAGGGGCTGCCCTGAGAGGGGTAAGGGTCTTGGGGCACAGGGTTCTGCGCAACCTACACAGTGCCTGGAAGGACACAGCTAAAGGCCATCTGCCGAGAGCCCTGTGGGGGCTAGGGTGGGGTGAGAGGGCTGTGTATCCCATAGCCCAGAGGTATGGGATCTGGCTTGGTGCAGATGGCTATAGATTGAGCTGATGGATGGGGGAGATGGGAGGTTGGCAGGGACAGTTGGTGCTAATGGTGAGGACCAGTAGGGGTTCCAGAACTGTGTAGCTCCTGTTCCTTTTCTTGCCTCTGGAAGGCTGGAGTCCACTCTCTTTGGAAAAACCATAGCCTGCCTTGGAGCAGCTGGCCAGGGGAGGCCTCTACTGTGCTGGCATCTTGGTCACACCAGCTTTTCGTTTGCACCCCTCAGGTAACTCGGGGACATCCTCCAGACTGGAACTGGAACGATGCTTGTAGCAGCAGTCCCTGGAGGGTGTAGAACAATTGAGTATTTCTGGGCTAAGACTGAAGGCTGCTGTCTGCCCTGAATCCTAGGAGCTGGGGACACTGTGGAGAGAGTGTCAGACCTGTGCAGGTCTGAGCCCAACTGGGGAGCGATTGCCGGTGTTTTTAGTCACGGGCAGATGGTGCTGAATTCCTGGTGGACCTTTGTGGGGCCACTGAGTCCATCAAGTTCTAAGTCTGACGGTGCTCCCCACCTACCAAAAAAGCCTAGCAGGGTCTTGGTTAGCTAGCAGAAGCTTGGCACTTTTTGTATAATGGGATTGTGTGTGTCTCCTTGTTCTTTCATTTTTTCACTCAACAGGCATTTTAGTCCCTGCTGTGTGCCCGCCTACTGTTAGTGACCCCTAAAAACCCCAAAGGGCTCTAGGCGTGCTGGCAGGAACCGTTTACCTCTATTAGTCTTTGTTAAATGTGGAGACTTGGATTGAGTGAGTTCAGGGTCAGTTCTGAAATTAGGGGAATAAGAGGGAATGAACCTGTGCGTACCTTTATCCATCCTAGCCCCCGCACCCCAGATGTTTCCTGGCGTCCTGGGGCTGTGGTATGTGGCTCTCCATGCTCCAGGCCTGGAGCAAAGAGGCCTGGCTGCCCACCTACCTGTGCTTCCCAGTGTCCAGGGTGCAGTGCCTCATGAGGTGGGCTGTTGTGTCCACATGAGCAGTTCAGTCATGGGATGGGATAGGAAGGGCCCCATTCCAGTGCAGTTCCTGGAAGAGTGGGGGAAAGAGAGCCATTTATTGTTCTCCAGAGCTGCTTTCTCCATGGCAGGCCCTGCCCAGGACTCTGGGGGTGGGCTCAGGGTTTGGCTTGCCATGTTGGCAGAATATTCAGAGCACTTAGCAGCACTACATTCTGTAGTTTAAAAACTTGAAGGGTACCTGGCTGGCTCAGTTGGTAGAACACGTGACTCCTGATCTCAGCGTCATGAGTTTGAGCCCCATGTTGGGTGTAGAGCTTACTTAAACATAAAATCTTAAAAAATAATAAAAGTAAAAAATAAAAGCTGGAGCAGTGGCCCGGAGAGGAAGAGTCCTGCTAAAATAGAGCTAAGGCAGCTGGCCCCAAGGTTAACCTTTAAAAAATGCTTTGTTGAAGGGTTAAATACCAGTGAAGCTGCCCAGGAAGCTTGGTGGCCCCACTTAGGTGTACCTGGTAGCCCAGTAGGGCAGGGAGGATTGTGGAAGACAGATGAGGTTTCAAGTTAACCTTGTCAGCTCATGTTGAAAGTAGGGGTGGCATGAGGCCTCGGGTTCCATTCCCATTGATACCAGTCTCTGCTGTAGCAGCTGTGCTGGTTTTCAGGGTTATAGCCTTGCTCCCTCAGAGTGGAGGGGACTGTGAGTGCTCTGGGCCGGCACTGGGCAGTGTGCTGCTAAAAGGCCCCTAGCCTGAGTAGAAGGGCTGATGTGAGGCTCCATGGGGTCCTCAGTGCTCGGCTCTAGCAACGCTGTCTGTGAAGGGGCTAATGCCCTTAGTTCAGGTGTCTCCCAGATAAGGGCACTATGCATGGATGCTAAGACTGCAGAAGGAGTGCTCAGTGCATAAAGACAAGCGGGAAGCTAAGAGAGGAAGTTCCAGTCAGAGAAAATCTAAGAGGTAGTGGTTCAGGTGGAAGGAGGTAATCAAGTCTTCTGGGAAGTGGCTGCATCTCTCCCTGGGTGGGATGGCACATCTACCTGGCCCGATGGAGAGCCATCTGTGTCTATGATTGGCCCTTTCAATAACACGCATTTATTTCTCATGGTTCTAAAGGCTGGGGAGTCCAGGATCAGGGCGTCAGCAGACTTAGTTCCTGGTGAGGACCCCTTCCTGGCTTGCAAGCACCTGGTATCTCTTCTTATAGGGGCACTAATCCCATCATGAAGGCCCCACCCTCATGACCTCATCTAACTCTAATCATCTCCCAAAGGCTCCACCTCCTAATACCGTCAAATGGGGACGGGGCAGGGTTAGGGCTTCAACATAGGCACTTTGGGGGAACACACTTCCACAGCAACTTTGGAATGCGTTGGCCTCTAACTACACAAGGGGAAAGGCTTCTCACATCTCAGGACATGCACACCAGGAGCACGTCCAGCTTGCGGGCGACGGTGCTTATTATTAAGTGTTTCCTGAGCACCTTGTGTGTGCCAAGCCCAGGGCCAAGTACTGGGGTTGCAGGTCTGGCTCAGACTAGACAGCCCTTACCATGAAGAGTGCGCAGATTTGAGGGGCAGGCAGTGCAGAAACAACAAGACCACTGTGTTGTGAGCAGCCTGTGGCAGAAAGGGGTGAAGATGTGCTGTGTGGGGGCCACTGTGGTCATCGGGTGGATTTTGTAATCTGATATCTCAGTGCAGTCATGCTTCAAGTGGGCTCTGTGGTTTGCTCTTTATTTAGAAAGGAAAAGAGTCTAATTTCTCAGAAGGAAGTTGTGCAGCCTCGGAATTGTGCAAGGTGCCCCCCAGAAAGGCTGGGCCAGTGAGGGGTGGAGGTGTTAGCATCTTGGAACAGGCGAGACTTTAGCAGGTTGAAAATATTCTGAATTTCTCGCTATTTTACAGGTAAGGGTTGTGTCCTGCAGGCAGTGAGGTCATGGCAGGGAAGGGCCACTGCTTTGCAAAGAGGCCTCTCAAGCATATGAAGCAATTCGCTTGTTTCTGTGGCCATAGACTTCTTGTACATAGATTCTAAGGCGATAGCTACTGATAGTAATGAATTCTTATTTGCCATCATTTGAAGTGTAGAGAAACTGTGTCATTTGTGACAACTCCATGAGAGTATGTAGCTTATTTCTGCACTGGACTGAACTAAAATGCTGAATATCTTTATTGAAATTCTTGTGCTCCCAAGATGATATTTCTTGCCTGCTCTTGGACCAGAAGCCTGCAGCGGCCCTGACTATGGTGGGGCTCTCCTGGCTCTTGTCCACTTCCCTTGACTGAGTAACACTGAACCTGGAAATGCAAGCATAATGCTCATCTTTGGAGTTGAATTCTAGACTACAATGTGAAGTTGTTAAATCCATCTATGTAAATAGCTGTGTGTGAATATTTTAACCTGGCCAAATATCCTGTAGCAGTTTCCGATACCTGGGGAGAGTAAAAGATTCAGAGGCCTAGGCCCCATGTAAAACTTTTGGTGTAATGGGTCTGCATAGAACTAGAAGTTTTAAAAGCTCAGTAGGTACTAGATTATGGTGATGAATGCACAACTCCAGGTTTCACTAAAAATTATTGAATCATATGCTAAAAGTAGGTCTATTTTATAGTAAATTGTACCTCACCAAAGCTGTTTTTAAAGGGGGGAGGCAGCAAAAAAACTCTCCAGGTGAGTGATGTGCAGCCAGGGCAGAGATTCCCTGTCCTACAGTCAGGCTTCCTGGGGACACAAGCCTCTTACCCCGTCCCATCCCTGTGGCGCAGGGGTCTGGTTCTGTTGCTCGGTCACCACCACACCCTGGTCAGTGCCCTGCTGTCCTCACCTCCCTCCTCCCCGTCCCTTGGCACCAGACGGTCTTCTCAAACATTTTGCTTCTGTTTTGTGGCCCGCTCCTCCTCAAATCCTCTGGGCGTGTTTTTTATTTCACTGGGTTTTTTAAAGCTGGACTGCCAGAGTTCTCAAACTGTAGACAGGACAGGCTTTCCCCGAAAGGCAGTTCCGACATGAGTCTCTCAAAACAAGGGCCCCCAAGGACAATTTCTTCTAAGTTCTTACCCTCAAACTAAATAATAGTATAATAAAATATGCAAATGCATATAGTTTTAAAACATACAGTTTAATTATGTAGGTAACATTTATTTTAAAGTGATTGATGAATGACTTACTGGAAAAATATGTGCTTTTTTGATAAAACAAATGCCCTGTATGAGTGGCTGGAGCAGAGTGTGGCCCTAGGTGGCCCTCGGAGGACCCGGTGTCGGTGGCCTCGGAGCGGTAGCACTGTGGTCTCGGCCCCCATTTGCCGCACACTGTTTTCTTTAGTGAGTGCCCTGCTTCAAGGAAGGGTGAGAACGCGTCAGAAAGACGAAACTAAAGATCACTGTGGTCATTAGAAGAAGAATAATAGTGAACGTTCATAGGATTCTTTTTTTTTTTTTTGAACGTTCATAGGATTCTTAATTACAGTTTGTTATGTGACTATATTTTAAATGTACCACAACTCAAGGCGGCCAAGAAAACAGACTTCCCAGGCTTGCACTTCATCACAAAACTTGTTCCTTTTCCAGTCACAGCAAGAGGATAATTAACTGTCACTTCTCTCCGCATGCCCTGCTCCACTGAAGAGATTTGCTCCTTGTCTCTCCCTGGCTCCATCTGATGATGGAGCACTGTAGCCCACGCGGGCACCTTTCCGTTCCCTAGCTCCTCTCCTCTGCCCCACTCCACTTTTCTGAGTGCCCCCCATTCTAAGTACCTGGACCCCAGGGTGAACACCGTTAGTGGGCCCCCATCTGTGCCCAGATTCTCAAGTAGCTGATGGTAAAGGCTGGCGCGTCTCTCAAACCCTTTGCCTCAGAATGGAGCCACCTGCCCATTTTCCCCCTAGTGCGCTCAGTGTTCAGCTGTGCCACCTGGTGGCCTCTGCTGTCCTCCCCTCTCCTGCCCACCGCTCCGTACTTGACAGGAAGGAATTGTATCCGCTGCTTCCATATTTTGACCACCCGTTTACTTCTTAGTTTTTTGTAATCTGGTTTCTATCCTGCCACCTGCCTTCCTGCTGTTTCCAGTGCCCTCAGCAGTGTCTGATCCACATCTGATGGCCTTGACTGGGGCCTCATTTCCCTTGGATCAGTCTGTGCCCTGAGTCACTATGTTCCCCACCTGTCTCCTGTTTTTCCGCCTTTTGTCATGAGGGACCCCCTTGCCTTTGTCCTCTGCTCTCTGCCGAGCTTCGTTCTTTTCACTAGTTTCCCCTCTGTCAGCCTCATGACTGACAGGTGGCATCACTGTGGGGACTCCTCGGCCTTAGCCATGCCCCCAGATTTAAGCTTCCTCCTTCCAGGACTTGCCCAGCATGTCAGCCCTCTGCTGTCTCTGACCCTCCCGCCCCACACAGTTGGCAGATCCTTTTGTCCTCTGTGCGCTCAGGCGCCCCAACTCTCCCTGCCTTTGCTAGGCCCTGGCTGCCTCGCGGAGTGCCCGGCCCACAGGTCACCTGGCCTCTGCTTTGCCCTTTCAAAAGGTGTCCTCTTGAGGAAAGTTTGGAAACTTTTGTTCAGAAATGTCCCTCTGCTCCCTATCCCTGCAGATTTAAGTTTCGAATTCTAAGCCATGCACTCGGGGCCTTCCGAGATCCTGGCCCTGGTTTTCCACCTTGTTTCCTGTTGCTCTGTTGTTTTGTATCCATTGCTCTGGCTGCATTGTGTGCCTTCCGGTTTCTGTGCTTGTCTATGTTCTGTGCTTTTGCACATCACTAACCTAGCTTCTAGGAATGCGTTTTTTTCCTCTTCTGCTGGACTTCATTCTATTTATTCTTTAAAGCCTGGCCCATAGACCTCCTTTCTCTAGTCTCCACAGCTGGGGGGAATCTTTGTGCTCCCAGAACCCCAGAGCACATTCTGTTATGTCTGAGGCACCGCTGACTTGCCTGCCCACTTACTTTTGGTGCCCCCAGACCTCAGCTCTGAATGGTCGTAGTGGGGGGTTTGCAGCTTTGTCCTGGCAGAGGGATGCTAGGCTTAAACACTGAGTGAGTGATGATTCAAAGGGCCAAGCCTCCAAGTCCCCCTTCCTTGGGCAGTTAGCAAGATGTTAACAGATAGCTGGATAACAGCACAGCCTGGGGCCCCGGCAGGAGGCTGGGTTTTCTGTCCCTGGAAAAGTTCAAGCACACACTGGGTGAGCCGCACAGGAAGACAGGTCTGGACGAACTGGAAGAGACACAGGTGTATATATAAATCAGATTCCAAGGGCAGTAGTTATGCTGTGTGGGGGAACAAGACTTTCAAAAAACACTTTAGTGACTGTTTACCTGTGGGTGATTTCTGTGTGAATTTTAAGTGATCTTCATTTATACTAAGTACATTTTCAAGGGCCTGTGACTGTACTTGCTGGCATCCCACAAGTCCCTTTGTGTCTTTGAAAGCAATTCCATGGCTTGAAGTCTAAACGTCAGACCAAGTGTAGGTTTCAGTTACTTCAGTCCCTTTTGTTCCTCAGCGTTTTGGGAGAAGTTGCCAGTTTAGAGCCGGTGGTTTTATGTGGAGACTTGACTGATACTAACAACAGTCTTTTTGTTTCCACAGAAGTTGCGGAGCTTGAAGCTAATTTACCATGTGAGTATAGCACCCACCCAGGCAGTAAGTGCCGCAAAGTAATTGCACGGAGAAGCTTTTTTTTTTATGTTTTAATAACCTTGCATAGCCAAAAGCCTGTTTTTCGTGTGTGTTGGGAGTAAAAGTTTTAATTTTGTGCAAATGGGTAGCAGAATTTTGCTGAGGCTTGGCTAAGAGTGAGATATTTACCATCTTTGTGACTGTAGCACGGAGGTGCCCCCTCTCTCCTTACTGTGGCACAGGTGACTTGGCTGGGTTTCGTATCTCTTCCACAGTGTTCTGTCCCATGTCCTCTTTGAGTAAAAAGATCTATAAATCGGTGACAGATGGTCCTGTTTCCATGAGTGACAGTACCACCTTTTTGGTCCAGAAAGTGCTTGCCTGTAATGTGTCTCTCTGCGTGAGCCGGGGTGACCACACCCCTTATGTCACCAGATACCCCTGACCTTGGTCCTTCCTGCTCAGACACACAGACCGACTGCGCAGTCCTCACTCGTGAGCAAGCTCGCTTACCTGGGCAGTTAATTTGTATGATATGTCAAAGAGTTGTTCTTCTTTTCCTGTTATTAATCCTTCCTAAATTTTTATAATACCATTAAAGCTTGAAAGTTTTGATCATTTTAGTATTTTTTTGAATTAGAACTTTTTATCATATTTGGTTAAATATAGTTCTGAGGCTGAGGATGTTTGTCACTGTGAGTGAAATATTTTATACGGGGGTCTCCTGGTCTGGGTGAATGCTCTAGAGAGCTTGATCTCTCTGGCCCATCTGACACAGATAAGAGAGGGGCCATTCCTGCCACCAACTATAGTTAGAAGGATGATGGTGGGTATGACCCTTAAGTGGTTGTAAAATCATTTGTAAGGGTAAGTACACATAGTTTCTTAAAAAATTATTTTTAATGTATGGCACTTATCTGTGGGTCTGGTGGGTTGTGATATAAAATAGGTTTCTTAGTGTGGGTCTCAGTCAAAAATGTCCTAAAAATCCCTGAATTGCTTGATCTCAAAGTTTTCTTCTAGTCAGAACTGGAAGGAAGTGTCTTGGGATACTCTTACAGGGTTTATATATATATATATATATATATATGTATATGTATATATACACACACACACACACACACACACACGCATGCATACATTTAATCAAAGGCCACAAAAACTTAGCACTTAACACAGTTCATTTTGTCCTTAAATATACTCTTACAGAAATTGTTGGTTTTTAACCCATAAAGGATAGCTTTAACTTTATCTAAAATTTTGGTTTGAAAACAGTTAAACTTTGGGGGACACCTCGCTGCCTCAGTCTGTGGAGCATACACTCTTGAGCTCAGGGTCATGAGTGCAAGCCCCATGTTGGACAGGGAGCCTACTTAAGAAAAAGAAAAAATTGGGCGCCTGGGTGGCTCAGTCGTTAAGCATCTGCCTTCGGCTCAGGTCATCGTCCCAGGGTCCTGGGGTCGAGTCCCACATCGGGCTCCCTGCTCCGCAGAGACCCTGCTTCTCCCTCTCCCACTCCCCCTGCTTGTGTTCCCTCTCTCGCTGTGTCTCTCTCTGTCAAATAAATAAAATCCTTTAAAAAAAAAAGAGAAAAAATTGTAAAAACAATGTGTAATTGGTTTTCAAACCAGGATTTTAACTAAACACCTTAGGTTTGAAAAAGTCATCTCCCTAGCATTTATGGCTAAAGTATCCGGTTAAAGAGACTACATGCTATCTCTTTTCTTGCTTTCTCCCTACCCTCTGTGCCATCAGAGTGGAGAAGTCTAAATTAGTTTATATAAGTAAGCCATGCTTTCCAAAAGTATGAAACTCATTACTCTAAAGGGGAAACAAGAAGCCACCTTAAAGAATAGATCTCTAGTATCATATCTAGTATTAATAGTATCTCTAAAGTATTAACTAAGAAAAACAAAATAACTTCCCTATGTAGCAGTGCTGCTTAATAATCATTCAGAACTAGTTTGCAGCTCTGTATATGCGAGTTTATAGAAGTTTCTCTGTTGGCAAAAAATACCTCTTTCAGATAGATGGAAATACAAAATGTTAGCCCATGCCTGCAGACAGGAAAAGCTTTGAACTAAAGCAAAAACCTGTCTCTTAATTTTTTGTTGTAGTTGTTGTAGTTAGTAGACTTTTTTGAGCTTTAAAATGTTTGGTTCTTTTCAGTAGTTGCATTGTTTGTTAATCTCCCTTGGTACCTTCTTTATTATTGGTGGGCTAATCTGTTCTAGAGGGATGGATTTCTATGTCTATCCTTCTATTGAAACAAAGGAGAATGCAAAGTATGAAAACAAAGGAATACTGCCAACTTCAGCCGATCAGTGAGACGTTCCCCAAGCCCTTGTCCTATGTTTCTGTTGTATAGATCTCACTGGAAAGATAGCATTTCTCATTTCAAGTCAAGATTAGGAGAAATGAAGCCCATATACAGTTCACATGTGTGGTTTGGGCAAAAGTCTTGAACTCCCTGGCTCCCAGCTTCATTATTTCTAAAATAAGAAATGTGACAGTGTAATCTGTAAGACCCCTTCTTGCTCTTCTAGATTAAGTTACCTTTTACTCTACAATGATTTTCTGAGGAATTGGCCAAAAACAAACTAACAAACAAACAAACAAAACCCCCTTAACAGTTCTGTGTCGTTTTTATGCCTCACACCTGGCATGTTCCTGAAGTAATGAAATGAGGCATGGTATCGGGAGAAGAACCATGAACTCGTCTTTAATTTGGGAACAAAACCTGTTGATAACCTGTGTGATCCTGGGCTGGTCACTGAACCTCTCTGGACCTTTGTGTTATCTCATGCTTGAGGACATTGAACTAGATTTCTAAGGACTATTTCTAAGTCTAAATTTGAATCATCCTATTTTTGATGAAATTTCATACCATTGTAAAACTAGACAAATTTTTCAGTGGTGGGACTTGTAAGAAATAAAGTCAGTAAGTGACCCAAGGAGTTTAGCATATTTTCTGAATTTATAAAATAATAGACAATTTCTGCATATATTCCTTCCCAATTTAGTGGGTATTTATTCCTTGTGTATTTACCATTTTTTGATATCATTTGTTTGAAGGAAGCAGATATAGGATGTAGCCAGTTTCCCATCTGTACCACCAGCCATTAGCTCTTCCCCCAGTGAGAACTCCTTGTCCTGATTTACCAGACCCCTTCTGATGTGGTACAGTGGGCATAGGGTGTTGCCATCTGAGCAGAGCATCATTTCACCAGCAAAGCAAACTGAGCTACTGGTTGGGTTGTGAAGACTTTCTTTCCCTCGTATTTAATGCCATGGTATACTCTGGGTATGAGTTAACCCCATTGGGCATCCTTCTTTTGAACTTCAGTTTACTGTGGTGGGTATGAATAAGTATGGTGGTGGGTGGACAGCCCAGAAGTTTGGCCTGGGTTCTTCTATTTTTGCCATGTTTAGTTAGCCTTACCCACATGTGTTCATCTCCTCGAGATGTGGTTTTCTCTTTTCAAAGTAAAGTAGCTTAATTTTTGAAGTTAATGGAAAGATCTCAATTTTTAGTGGCTGTTTAAAGGTTGGAAGAAACCATCTCAGTTTGGAATTAGCAAGTGAAAGACTGTATGGCAAAATCACTGGTTTGCAATTTTAGCACAGCGGCACAATTATTGTCAAACCGGGAGCAAGGAGTCTACAAACTCCTGTATCACCTTCAACTCCATGTGTGTTTCAAGGTTAGCCTCCGTGTAAGGACTGTTGCTAGCTGTCAGACCTTCCTGATGTGCTGTTTCTTTTGCAGGTACATGTAAGGTGCATTTTCCTGATCCAAACAAGCTTCATTGCTTTCAGCTAACTGTAACCCCAGGTAATATTCTTACATACTTAAGTGTTAAAGTGATTTTCAGATAGCAAAGTTTAAAGGCTGCCAAAATCTAGAATCTTTGGCTTGATTTGTCCTCTCACTTTTGAAAGTTATGACAGTTACAACTATTCCACATGAAGACAAGATATGTGCTTTGTAGTCAAAGAAAGCAGAATAAAGAGGAACGCCTGGGTGGCTCAGTCGGTTAAGCGTCTGCCTTCGGCTCAGGTCATGATCTCAGGGTCCTGGGATCGAGTCCCACATCGGGTTCCCTGCTCAGCGAGGAGGCTGCTTCTCCTTCTGCCTGCCACTCCGCCTGTTTGTGCTTCCTCTCTCTCTCCCTACTCAATAAATAAAATCTTTAAAAAAGAGAGAGAGAGAAAAGAAAAGCAGAATAAAGGGAATCTGTGGCATTCGGTGTATACTCGGAAATGAAGTACAGACTTTATCAACTGGAGTGAAGGGCCATAGAAGCTGTTGGTACGGTGAGCTTTGAAATCATAACTGGGTTCTGATCCTGCTCTGCCCTTTTGTGGCAGTGTGATCATGGTTCAGTTGCTTCATGACCTCTTTGCACAGCCCACCCAGCAAGAAACTGGGGATCAAATAGTACCTATCTCATGGGACAGTTATGATGATTAAATAGATAATGTGTGTGAAACATTTCAGCCCAGGGTCTGGCACAGGGAGGTAAGCAGATTACTAGCTGTCCTCATTAGGACTGGTAAGTCTCCAAGCCCCAGGCACTCCGGCATGGTAACCTGTCCCTCCTTGGTCAGACTGGGCAGCAATATGGAGGACGTGGGTTTTTTTCTCGCTCCAGTGCAGCTCTGAACGTTGCAGATTCTAGCCTGGCATGGACCACCAGTGTTTACATTGGGCAGAGGGTGCTGCTGTGGGGTAGGTGGGGAAGGGAGTGTTGCAGAGGAAATGGAGGGTGTTATTTTATTTGGGGGATGGAAAGGGAATGAGAAACTGAGGGTAATGAGTCACTAGCTAATTAGAAAGTGAAAGAGAATACAGAATTTCAGTAGGCGATAATGAACCCACAGATAAGACCTGGCAGTTGTCTCCCTGCAGGTAGGATGGATTATTTTCTGTGGAAGATGTTTTATAATAACAGGAGAAATCCCATTTTCAAAATGTGCTTGAAAACTTAAAAACTCATTTAATCTGTGTGATGGTTCTACAAACATCTCTAGACATGGCCGTAAACTCAGTCTGGTGCCATTTGCACTAAGAAGGCACCAGGAGGGAGTTAATATCAGAACACAGTCTGTAGAGGTGGGGCGTTCCACGTGCCTGACATCAAGAGATAACCAAAGATCAGGACTTAAAGCTAGGAAATGATGAAAATTATAACCATTCTTTGGCTACCTTCGTAAAACATGGTGCATCGTGCTGTTTTTAGCAAGGGGTATTGAGCACGCTTTAATGTTTCTTGGTGACTCGGGGTCACCATTCCGAACATCATTTACTATTACTGTTGAGTAATGCAGAGTATTTTCATAAATTATTGTGGTGATTGAGATTGGTTCTGTGTGTACTAAGTGGTCTCAGACTGTGTGTTTGGAGTAAACACGTTTACTCGCCTCTGCCTTCCTAGGGCATTTTTAGTGGCTGGCAGGGGTTCTGTTGCCCTGCTTCCTGCCCGGGCGTGGGCTCCGTGGTCTATCCCAGCCACTCAGAGACCTTTGTTGAGTTTGCTGGGCTGGTTACCATCTTATGTGGGTTTTTGTCAAGTCCAGCCTCTGAGTAAGAGTTTCTCCTTTTGCTTTTTCTTTTTTTAACTGAATTTTTTAATGGAATTACATGGATGTTATGATTACTGAGATTATGTACATGATACCATCTTTGATGTTTTTACTGTTCTTGAAAGTGGAGCACAGTTGCTAGAGTTTTGATATTCCACTGTTCCATCAGATTAAAAAGTAACTTGTGTTTCGGTGCCAGTAACTATTTAGTACCTTAGCACTTATGTTTGTAATAAGTGTACATCATGGACACGATTACCACACTGAGCTGTGTGCTCAGCATGCACTTCAGATGCTGTGCATATGCCCTTATTTTGTGGTGTTTGTGCGTCGGAAAGCTGCTCTGGTTCCTGCCCTTTGTTATTAAGAGAAACGTGGCAGAAACCTGCCAACCCTAAAAACTTGTCTAATATCATAGTCTTAAAACAACTTTTTGGAGTCCTGCTCCTCTTAGCATTGGGAAGAAATTAAAGAGATATGCCTAACCGATAAAAGTTTTAGCCATGTATGAAGCAGATGGGTTTGAAACCGGCTCATTGGCAGCAGCCAGTAGTCTGCACACTAAGTGATTAATACGATCTAGATATTGGGGTGGTCAGGGTGGGAGAACTGTATTGGTAGTTGAAGCTCAAAGCTCTTTTTTACCTGGTTCCTGGCAAGATAGTTCCTGTTAATACTTGGTAACATTTTCATAGTTTTGTTTTTAGACTGTCCCTCATGCTTAGGAGTAAATGTACTCTTCAGAGAAAAGATGGAAATGTATTTTGGTGGTAGAGGAAAAGAACTGAATTTAAGAGGGGACAAAAGTCTCCATGTCAACTCAACAAAATAAGAAAAAATACTAGTAAGTGAAACAAATCGAGAAAAAGCGAACACTTAAAGACTTGCTGAGATACTCCCTGGAGTCTTCGGTGAAATTGGAAGGACAGTTTGGAAAACTGTTGCCCAGCTAACTTGCAGGGGTCCCCTCAGCCTGCCCCACTGTGACTTGGAGCTTTTAGGCAGAGAGGAACATGGATTTAAATAACAGTTGTGTTTGTTTTTTTTTTAATTTTAGTTTTTACTTTTTAAATAAATTTTACTGAGGTATAAAATAATAAAATGTACTAATTTGGACTGTGTCTTAATAAGTTTTGAAAAAATGTGTACACCTATGTAACCACAACCCCAGTAAAGCTATTTCCAGCATTTCCAAAATTCTCTTCTGTCTCTGCAGTCAGTTCCTTGCCCCTGGCTACCCACCCAAAATTCCTTTCTGATGTGTTACCATAAATGACTTTTGTCAGTTCTTTAATTTCATATAAATGGAATCTTATATATGTACTCTTGTCTCTGACTTCTTTCATATAAGTTGTTTTAAAATTCATATGTGTTATATCAGTGGTTTGCTTCTTTTTGTTTTATGAGTATGTTGTAATTGCTAATTTTCCTATTCATGGATATTTGAATTCTTTCCAGCTTTTCGCTGTTATGAATACAAACAACTGCTGTGTTAGCATTTTCATATCATCCTTTTTATACTCCTATTTTTCATTCATTCATTTTCTCTTTAATTCCACTTACGAGTGAAATTTCTGAGTCACAGGAAGATGTATATTTAGCTTTTTAGGAACTTTCTAAAGGGGTTGTGCTATACACTGAGCACAATGTATAGGGGTTATACTATACACTGACCAGCAACGTATGAGAAATTCCGATTGTTCTACATACTTCTTAGTATTTGGATATGTATAGTATTTCATTGTGGTTTTAATTTGCATTTCTCCAGTGCTGGGATTTTGATTGAGATGGTGTTGACTTTTTAGATCAGTTCTGTGGGAAATGACATCTTCACAGTGTTGAGTCTTTTTTTTTTTTTTTTAAGATTTTATTCATTTATTTGAGAGACAGAGAGAGTGAGAGAGCTCGAGACGGGGGAGGGTCAGAGGGAGAAGCAGACTGCCTGCTGAGCAGGGAGCTTGATGCCTGCTGAGCAGGGAGCCCGATGCCGGATTTGATCTGGGACTCCGGGATCATGACCTGAGCTGAAGGCAGTCGCTTAACCAGCTGAGCCACCGGGGCGCCCCCACAGTGTTGAGTCTTGCCATGCATGAGCACGTGAATGTCTCCACTTATTTACATTTTCCTTACTTTCTCTCAGCAGTGTTTTGTGCTTTTCATTGTATAGGTCTTGCAAATACAACACCCAAGTATTTCATGTTTTTTTAAGCTGTTGTAAATGATATTTTTAAAATTTCCATTTCTTATTAATTATATAAAAGTACGATTGTTTAATATATTGGTCACGTGTCCTGTCATGTTGCTAAATTCACTTGCGAAATTCTAATAACTTCTTAATATATTCTTAGAATTTTTATATCCATGATCATTGCATCTGTAATAAAGACATTTTTACTTCTTTCTTACCCATATGTATGCCTTTAATTTCTTTTTCTTACTGCACTGGCTGTGACCTCTAGTACAGTGTTGAATAGAGGTAGTGAGAGCATATGTCTTTGCTTTGTTCCTAATCCTAGGGAAGACGTGCTCATTATTTATGAATATGATGTTAGCTATATTTTTTTTTAAATATGTTCTTTATCAGGTTGAAGAGTTACCTTTTTTCCCTCATTTGCTGAGAGTTTTTTATCATGTGTGTTCAATTCTTTCTAATGCTTTTTCTGCATCAATTGGTATGATCATATGATTTTTCTCCTTCATTTTATAAATATGGTTAAATACATTGAGTGATTTTTGAATGTTAAACCAACCTTATGTTCCTGCCATAAACCCCACTTGGTCATGATATGTTACCCATTTTCTTTATATTGCTGGATTAAATTTGTTAATATTTTGATATAGAATTTTATGTCAGTGTTCATGAGGAATGTTGGTTTGTATTTTTCTCTTCTTGTGATCATTTTGTCTGGTTTTGGCATCAGAGGAACGCTAGCCTGGTAGAATAAATGAAGAAGTGTTCCCTCTTGTTTGCTGAGAGTTTGTATAGGATTGGTATTATTTCTTCCTTAAATATTTGATAGAATTCACCAGGTAAAATAGTCTGGACCTGGAGTTTTCTTTCTGGAACATTTTTACTTATGAATTCAAAAATAGATACAGGGTTATTCATCTTCTATGTTTCTTAAGTCAGCTTTGGTAATTTTTTTCTTCCAAGGAATTTGTCTTTTTTCACCTAAGTTGTAGAATTTATTGATATAAAAGTTGTTCAGAATATTCTCTTATTCCACTACTCTGTGTAGGATCTGTACT